TTTTTTTTTTTTTTTTTTTTGTCAGAAATATTATTAGAAAAATATTTTAAAGAAACTAACAAATTTGGAAATAATTGAAGGCAATGTTTCCTCACACCCGTTTCAAAACAAGAAACAGAAAGGTTTTAATTGATTTCAAACTTTGTCTATTGTCACCGTTCAGTACCACCTCGGGAACTGCGATAAACCGTTCAACTTCCTTCGCATGTCAGAAGAGGGCTTTGTTTTGACAGTTCTTATTGGAGGAGTTCTGTGCTTATAAATAAGGTCACCCTCCCACAGGGCAGTTCCCCTGAATTTCCCTGGTAGAAATTGTTGTTTTTGTAGAAGTGTAGAAGAGAGACATTTTGATGGCTCTATCTTTTATCATATTTTAATTTAAAATCTCTTTATATTTTCAAAACATTATAAAACGACAACAAGCTTAATCTTGTGTGTAGTGTTGAGTTTTTTTAAATCATTAGAAATGCTATTAACAAATAAAATCATCATTAAGTGTGATCCGAATGGAAATACACACGAACCCCATTAACTCTCCATACCGTCGACCTTAAAGGATGGAAATTTAATAACATCAATGCTCCTAATAAAAGAAAAAAGACCCAGGAAGAGGTAGATTAACAAAATAGCTCAAAACCCAAGAAAAAGGACTGACGATGTAACAACGGTGTTTGCCATACGAGTGATGGAAACGAGGAGGGTTTTAAGAATAATCGTTTGCCATATATCACGTGGGTTTCTTAGCTACAAACTGTCACGTGAGTTGGTGACGTGTTACCCCTAGACTTTCTCGCATTAACCTTGAGTGTGCACCTTTTTGTTTACTCTCTCTGAGTTTGTCTTTGTTACTCGCTTTAAAATTTCAGTGAAATTATTGTGGATATTTATTAATTGATATAGATTGATGTAATTCAAGCAGGAGAAGTAAGTGTTTGCTATTATACGAATTTTATTTATTTATTTAAACAAATCTCAATTCAAACTCGACGGTTTTAAAGCCTTTCATTGAAAACAGATTCTTGACATACGAGAATATTTTAAACTGAGAAAATGAAGATAAAAGTAGAGCCAGAAAATGAATGTTCAGAATTTATATTTAACCGAGGTGATGAAAAGTTTCTTTTAAAGAATTACAAGAAAGAATTTAATACGGATACCAAAACATTTTGTAGAAGAATTAAATCAGAACCTTTAGAACATAAAAATATACAGGTGAGTAAAATGTACGTTTTGTAGGCACTTGTGCAGTTTAGGGGTACGGCTGTTTGAAAGGTTTTCTTTCTTAAAATTAATCGATTTTAGACTAACGTGACTCGAACATTTCCAAAATACGTATAATTTTTTTGGAATAATCCATATAAAATATGCTATAAACAAAAAATTGTAGGAATACTTACCGAGTGTGCACCGTTCGAAAATTCCTTGCTTAAACTTGTTTTCGTCGCGGAGCGGCACATCGAACGGCGGACGCGTACGAAGCTGTCATGTGACATTTATCGGTGCTATTCTACGATTCTAGTTTTGCTTTAAAAGCGTTATTTACAAAGCTTCTACGTTTACTTCACGCCTTCCAAAATTTTAAAATGAAGTTTATTTACTTAAATTTATTACTACGATGGAAAACGTTACAATTTTAATTAATGCGATCTTTGACACTGCATTTTATTTGCTAATTTCTCACAGTTGCGAGTGTAACATGATAATCCCAATCGTAAACAATCTTCAACGTTGGAAGATTTGCTCGAATTTTGTTAATTATTTTAACCTCATAACAATTGTGATTAGTTTTTGTAATGACGTTCGACATTGTGTTTGTTTGTCACTGACACAACACTGTTGCATATTAAGCATTTACATTTCTCCTTACTTCGATAACAAACTTCTACCTAATCTTTGTTGGTTTTTATTCGGATTACCGATTTTGAGGTAAAATGTTTATGTACAAGAAAACACAATACGACATTGTGAACCCCTGTTCTATTGTAATCCATAAGACAAACAAATAAACAGTGGTGCGTTATAATTTCATGGAACCAGGGCAAATTTGAATCGGGAAAATCCTACGTAAAGTGTTGATTTCAGACATTTTCCTTCGGGAACTGAAGGGGAGGAAAAAGGTTGATCTTTAGTATAGTTTCGTTTATTTTATTAATTAAATTTTATACAGTCTATGCATTTTATTATATTTATTTCAAAGTTTCTTCTATGTTTTATTTTCTACTTATTGTATTATTATTCGTGAAGTCATAAAGGATTAACGGGGATAACATTTATTTAAACGTCCACAGAAAGGAACAAATTACGGAAACTTAGACAAACTGGAACAATGGGAGAGCTCCTAAATGTCACATTTATTGTAAGCCAGAACGGCATTTATTCTAATTACAAATAACCGAAAAATACAATTAAATAGTTAATAAGAACGGGTGTATTTTGTATGTTTTATATCATAGAAATACTATGTGAGAATAATTTACAAGGAATTTATTTAAACTTTTTATACTTTGGATCCTTTTGAGTAAAGAAATGTGGTTCTAGCAGAAAAACGTATGAAAATGCTGCAGATTTTAATTAAGTAAACGGAATTTTATGTTTTAGTTTAAATACTATTTTTATTTATTTTTTGTATAAAGATTAACTTGTCCAATAATAAAACAGAATTTTTTTTTCAATTATTTCAGGTAAATACTTATGAAAATTTAATTTTAACAAATAACACAAGCGATTCTAATATTTGGAGTAATTCTTATTGTAATAGCGAAATAGGTAAGAGAATTCATACTTCTTACGGTATAAAAATATGTTTCTATTGATTATAAAAAGAGTTAAAACCTAAATATAAATAAATTCATATTTATATAAAAGTTAAGTTGATAATATTTCATAAACATTGCAAATATTTTATACACGGTGCATATGAAATTAAATATATTTTAATATTATAGATATTTGGTGTTGATAGAGTTAAAGCTCTCAATTCAATTTATCAGTATCCTAAAACAGAAAAAAAATCTCTTTTTAAACTAGTGTTTTATTATTATAGAAAACAAAATAGTGGTCTTTTTAATAAAACAGAATAGAAGAAACAAAATACAGTAAAACCTGAGTAAACTGAACATTTTTCCGGTTTATCAGGTTTATTTAATCATAGAAAATAGCTGTATGTTGAAGAATTCTTGCTGTTTATGCAGGTTTTCGGTTTGAACAGGTATTACCCTATACGTGACAGTAAATTTCAGCATATACAGTAATTACACGTGTTTACTATCTAACCGTGATTTATCTTAACGAAAAAAGTGATAAAGTATTGTGTGACGAAGTTAATTTGCCGGGTTTAAAAAGATTAAATTTTAAACAAATCATCTTTCGTTATCGGTGAGTTGCTAGTGAAACTTCCAGGTCGAAAGGTCAAAGTTCCTAGGGTTTGTTTCCCCGTATAGATATTTTATTTTTTTTCATAATATCATGCTTATTTACAAGATTTTAGCACGTATTATTGTTTTTTTTTTTTTACATTCGATTCGAAGCGCCAAGCTTACTTTTAGCAAGAATGTACACCATACCTTTCCCTTAACAATACAGTTGTGTTTGTCATCTATGTAATACTTTTCAGGTAGGAATTTAAAAGTCTACAATTTTTACAAATTTCAGCCAAAATATCCACGATAAAAACAAACTGGCTATCCCTGCCTTTTGTCTTAGTGACAGGGGCTCAGTTTAAGTATTGTGACAAGTAAATATTATAGGGACCTCTTTCTTTATTAAAAAATTACATACTCAAAATTTACTGAAACTTTAAAAGGTATGTTTATGTATTTCGGGTATTGACGCTATTAAAATTTGGTAGATAAACGTCGAGAGAGTGGGAGATAAAGGGAGAATCGTGTGTCATATCTTGTGTAGGGTCGGAAATTAATGACGATTTTACTCATGATTAACCTATAATATTTTTAAAAAAATTCATTCTGTACTGAAAATTAAGGCATTTAGTATTTAAAATTATTAAATTTAAAGTCAGTTTTATTTATTTATTTCAATTATTTGCTTAGAATTTTTTTTAAAACTAAAACACTGCAAAATTCTAATACAGATTGTAAGAATAAAGAAATAAAAAAGGAGAAATGTGACACTAAAAATGACATAAAATCAGAATGCAAAGTCGTTTTGAAAAGATTGAATTTTAAAGTGAAAACTGAATACGAATACGAAGATTTAAAGGTAAGTGATACAAACTTTTAAATACTTTACACATTTTATAAGTTAATTTGCATAATACTTTCTGTGCATTATATCGAAAAAGAAGGTAAATATAAAACTAATTTTATACAATTATGCTGTAAGTTTTTGTGTATTCTGTATTAAAAAACAGTCGTAATTTTATGGTTTTCCTCACGATAAAAGTCCGAGAGATAAAAACATTGAGTGTTCGTTTCTTTTCTTTCTTCTTCTTCGGTGTTGTTTATATGGAGATTTTAGCTCAATGTAGGCTCTTTCTCCGAGTAGACTTGTGTGTGTATGATCGCTATGCGACCGATTTGCCAGCCGTATCCGAACGGCCTATACGTACGCGCGGGAAATAATGCCTTCCGGAAGGACTTTTATGGGGAACTGGCCTCCTATTCAGTCGTTATTGGCAAGGAGAAAACCCGGAAAACTCCAAGCAGCCAGCCTGTCCGATCGCGGCGCGAACACACGACCGAACTTCCCAGTTTTTAGGGTCTGGTCACCGCTATGAGCGGCAACGGAGACCACTCGCCCACTGGTGGGGGCGAGTGTTTGTTTCAAACTCATCCAGGGCTTTATCGAGCCATGAACAGACCAAGACACGTGGTGAAATGGTAACTTGATAGTCAGTTCGTCCTCGAATTTGTAAGACACTAAAATTATATTAAAGGAGTAAAATCAGAAAAGCGATTGTGGTAAATATTCGGATAATTTAAGTTTATAATAATATGAACATATTTATTATAAAATAAACGATTGTGAAGTTGCCGAAATGATGGAAGATAAGGGGAGAGGACAATTGAAATCAAGATAAACGAGTGATAAGGGACGGCATATGAATGATGGTAGAGAATATGGTGGAATATCTTAACAATATAACTCGCTCATTTTGAGCCGAAGTGGATGCTTTACAGAATATTATAAAGTGTGTTCCTTCTCGAACGATTTCTTTTCGAGTAAATCAGCGATGTCGAGAGAAGTGAAACTGTGAATTGAAAAGAGGAACATCCGAATTTGTTTTTGAAATTCGGGGTGTTTAAAGAATTATATCTTCGAATTTCCTTTTTCGATTGGTTACTTTTTTGTTTCCAGTGAAATGAGACCAGATTGGACGCCGAGAAAGGTCAATCTTTGGCATTCATCTGACGCCTTATCTCGGCTGTCAGCAAAGGATGTTGATCGAACTTTGAGACTTTCACTGATAGTTTAAACAATGATGTTTTTTTTTTTTCTTGCCGTACAAGAATTTTCCTTCGTTAAAACGTCTCGTTTTTCAAATTATTATTATTTTTTTCGTTTTACGAGAGGCTGAAATTTTCCTTGTCTGACATTTATTAAAAAATTATAACACGTGTGCTCCAATCCCACGGTTCCTCGGAGAACCCTGAGTCTTGATAAAAGTACCGTTGGTTGTTGGTTGTGGTTTCGCTCCTGGTCGATGGGAGAATTTTCCGAGTTTCTTCACTTTCGCAACACTCAAACAGGGGCCAGTTTTCCTTAGAAACACTTCCGTAAACACCCCCTTTCAGCAGGTTGCCCACATGTCGCACTCCCTTATTCAACCGTAAATCAAACCGAAAAAAATTAATAATTTGTACAAAATATGTAAGAAATAATTTAGTTTTAATGCACTTTTCTAATACACAACAACACATTTATAATTTACATAATTATTTTCCAGTATAACATGTTTTTTTTATGTTCTTTTCTGTTTCTAAATTCTTTAGCCTGTGAAGAACGAATTTTTCATTCCCGACAGAAACTCTAACAGGAATGATACGAGCGCACAAAGTAAGTAACAAGTTTATTTGTTAAATGCTTACGTAAAGATCAAATTTTATATATATATATATATATATAGCCTATATGTATATGCTGTATGTGACTTTAAAATTTTGGTGGAGCCATCTGTTCTCATATTTTCTTTTAAAAAACTGATACTTTTAATCATTATAAAATAGCAAATGTCTTAATTTTGAGAATAGGAATGAGTTTTATAAACAATTTGTAAACCGAAATACCGAAAAAAGTGTCATTAAGTCCGACCCTACTGAAGATACATACGACCCCCATTATCAATCCCATCCCTTAGACTTTTAACAACCACAATTTAATAGCATTAATTGTTTTAACAAGTAAACATTCCTGCAAAATTTTAGAAATTTTTGTCAATAAGGCTATAAATAGGGTGAACAAAATTATAAGGAAAAAATAACTCATTTATTTATTATTTTTCAAGGTTACAAGGTCCTCTGAGTCTAAAAAAGTAGAAATCTTCAGCATTAATTAACTTGACCGATCTACATTCTTACCAGGAAAGTAAACGAATATAGTAAAGGAATGTCTGTCTTTTTATTAATTACAACAATTATTACGAGTATTTTTCACAAGAATTTAATACTGAGACCCATTCGGAATTCTGATAAAAACATTTCTAGCGTTTAATTCATCAGCAATCGATTCTACAAAATAACACGATTTATTTTCAGAAACAAAAGATAAGCTATTAACGTGAAAAACTTTATATAAATTTAATAACTTAATGATATAATATACAGAAAAACTTGTAAGTAGATAAGGAATATTGTGTATTTAAGATAGCACAAGTTTTCTTACCATTTACATTTTAATATTACTTAAATTTAGATATTAAAATATATGCTATGTTTTTTATTATTATTATTGTTAAGTTATGTAAACACAATAAGTACTTAATTTAAAGTAAATTAAGTAATTATTGTATTTAACTTTCAAATTTCAGTTAAGCAGGAAGAGAGCGAAGAATACGATTCTCAGCAGAATTCAAAAATACAAAAGAAGAATAAGTCTACAGCAAACAAGACAAAATTCGTTCCTTCGATTAGAAAATACAACAAAATCCAAGGAAAGATAAAGAGGAAATACTTCAGAGTAACACGTTCATCTCATTCTAAACAAAATCACAAATGTGATTTATGTAAACAGACTTTTGTAAACAAGAGAATACTACAAGCGCATTTGTACTTTCATATTGGAAAAAAACCATTTAGCTGCACAACCTGCAATCAGAAATTTTCCTGGCAATTTCTATTGAGAAGACACAAGAAAGAACACAACACAGAAAAACAAAGCGAAATTGATCATAGAAAACTTCGTTTGCCATCATCATCAAATGAACGTAAAGTATCTAAGAGGAAATACTTTCGATGTGACATTTCCGATAAGCTACTTAATACAAAAGGTCAATTGGAGAAACATAATAGAACACATCAACCTGTATCTCATTGTTGTAAGATATGTAAAAAAGAATTTCAAAGTAAATCGATATTGAAACAACACGAACTTACTCATAGTGAAGAGCGACCTTTCAAATGCGATATATGTGATAAGGGCTTTAAAAAGAAAGGCTATTTAAAAATGCATCGTGAAACTCACAGTGACGAATGTAAACAGCATTCTTGTCATGTGTGTAACAAAAGTTTTAAAACAAAACACAGTTTAACGCTTCATAAAATCCTTCATAATAAAGAATTAAAGCATTCATGTCAGATATGTAACAAGTATTTTAAAACAAAACGCTATTTAAGACGACATGAAAATACTCACAAAGATAAAAGTGATAAGAATTTTTGTAACATACGTAAAACAAGTTTTAAATGCAAAAGTAGTTTTGACAGACACCGAATTTTTCAACATCAGAATATGTTTCGTTGCGGATATTGTAATAAGTCATTCAAAACTAAAAATATGCTAGAAGCTCATAAGAAAATCCATATTGAAAAATGTAATATCTGTAAAAAGGAGTTTTCGTCTAAAAGGTCTTTAAACGTTCATCAGAGATTTCATTTTGACATAAAACCGTTTGTTTGTGAGGTGTGTAACAGGCGTTTTGTATCAATCTCCGAGTTGAAACGTCACCAAAGTTCTCACAATAAAGACAGTCTTCGTTTCGTTTGTGACGTTTGTAAGAAGGGTTTTTACGATAAATCTCATCTGTTTAGGCACCGACCTGCTCATCAAAGGAAGAAGCATTTTTGTAGCCATTGTAAAGTCAGATTTAAAACAGAAAGTAGACTAAAATTGCATATGCAATTTTCTTGTTTAGAAATACACCCCAAACGATTACCTTATCAATGTAATATCTGTAAACGGATTTACGTAAGTACTTCTTCTTTCGAGCGGCATCTACTCGCTTACAATAATCAAATACACTTTTTTTGTGACGTTTGTAAGACGAAGTTTACATCAAAAGTGAAATTCCAAACTCATCAAAAGACTGCTCATCATCCGGGAGGAAACTATAAATGTGAAATTTGCAATAAGACATTTCGGAGAAAGATTGATTTAAATAGACATATAAAAATAAATACCGATTCAGGCGTTAAGAAATGTGATGTTTGTGGTAAGAAATTCTGTTCGTTTATCTCTTTAAAACTTCATGTAAAAAGTCACTTTTAACAATAAAATTTTGTGTGTGAAATACGTCGAAACAATTTAAATACAATACGTACTTTTTATACTAAATGTGCAAGAGAATAGGCAGAAACGTTTTAATTTTATGTCTGTTATTTCGTTTGTGATAATTGGGCTTCATTTGAAAAAATTGTAGACATTTTTGTAGACATTGTATTGCTTTATATGTAATAATTGATCAGAAATAAATAATTTTCGAATAATAACCTAACTTGTATGTAATTTTGACAAAAGATCGATGCAATGTCAAAGTTCTCAGTGTTAAATGTATGGTCGAGGAAGGTGAGGTGTGTGTCCTACACAACCAAACCTACTATGTATGAGATGTGTGGTTTAGTGATAACTCTGGAGAAATATAAATGGAAATATTAACCAATTATTTACATTTATTTTCCTTTAATTTTAATAAATCACATTTGTGAGAGTCTGGAGACGAACAAAAGCCTTACTTTAAAGTTTAGATAAGGTCTCTACATTTTATTTAATAATTAATGCAAATAAACTGTTTTTATGTGTGAAAATCGTTTGTGAGAACGAACGACAAAGGGAAATAAAAGCTTCCACCTATTTCCCGTGGCAAGATTTTATCTTGCCTGCTGTTGATTCATCTGTAGTGCCGTCTCACCCTCTGCCCATGTGACGCAGTTTGTGCACTTTGTCACATCGGAAAGACGTACACTCTTGATAGAAGGGAAATTGCAGATATAAACGGGTAGAATCCCAGGCTCGGGCAGACAATCTCTTAGGATATAGTAAGCCAAGCTTCAGTCTGTCAACGATCCCGACTCCCAGCTTTCGACCAGCTCAGAAATGAATAATTTTTTTAACCTTCCCAAGTTTAAAAATTATTCATTTCTGGAAGCTCAAACTCAATAGGTTTGATTTCCCAGAGAAAAGATCTTCGCTGTTACCTCGTTTGAACAATACAGCTAGAGACTGTTCGACTATTAATTAGAGATCTTATGCACTTATTCTAAATTCGATACGATGTGTTTATTTAGTTACCTGCGTAGGCATTGTTTGCTCTCTTTTGTATTGAACCTCTACGTTAAGTCATTAAACTTTTGTTAATTGTTAACCGGGTCTCGAGTCATAACCTTTACTCTGCAGATTCTCACACATTTTACACACATTATCAAAAGTTTATATAGTTCACTCACGAATAAACATGGCGTTGAAGATCTTCATTTTTTTATATTCAAAAAAAAAATCTAGCAACGAGTTGCTTAACTTTCCCGGCTTTTATCAGCTTTTACTTCAAAAATAACTTTTATACTATTAATAACAATACAGTGTGGCGTCATCTGTTGAGATTTTATTATAGAAAAAAATTATATAATTTTAAGGAAAATTATAAAATATTGTATTTAAGAAAATGTTCGATTTATAAAAATTATTATATAATAATTTTAATTTTTACAGGATGTTATGATTCTGATTATTTTTCATCCAATGTTGATAATGCTTATAAGAGGAGAGAAAGCTTGAATAAATACAGACTTACCTCTACTAGAAAAAAACTTTCCGCAGTATCTCATACAGAGAAATATATTTGTAAAAAGTATATAAATGAAAGAAAGTATCAGTGTACAATGTGTCTTAGATATTTTACAAACAATATTGTTTTGAAGCGTCATCTTTTCATGCACATTAGGAGGATACCATTTTCCTGTCGTATCTGCAAACAACCATTTTTCTCAGAAGATACATGGAAGAAGCACGAAACGAAACATGGCATTCGACATAAAGAAGTAACGAAACCTCTTAATTCATCTACGATACAGTCAGAAAATCTCCAGGAAAGTTGCTCAAAGAAGCGCAAGAAGAAGAGGACGAGGAGGAAGAAACCTCTCAGGATTCACACGTGTAACCTTTGTGGTAAGAGTTATAGAAGGACAAAGCTTTTTATATTACATTGTAAATATCATTTTTACAAGAAGCCTTTTAAGTGTGAAATTTGCAAAAAAGATTTCATAAATAGACGTGGGTATAAGCATCATAAACTCATACATTCTGACAAAACACCATACTCTTGCGCCATTTGTGAAAATAAATATAAATATAAAGATGCTCTAAGGATGCATTTAATATCTCACATTGCAGAAAAACTTTATCGTTGCAATATTTGTGAGAAAAGTTTTAAACACCACTGTAGTTTATACAGACATCAAAAATGTCACATTGAAATATTCCCGTTCGAGTGCAATATTTGCAGAAAGAAATTTAAACTTGAAAAAGGTTTAGAATTTCATCAGAAAGAAAAATGTAAAGAATTTCATCATTTTTGTAATATCTGCAAGAAAGGATTTGAATTTCAATGTCGTCTAAATGTACACAATGCTATTCACCATAATAATAATAAAAGGCCTTTCCGTTGCTCCATTTGTGACGATAGATTTAAAATTAAACCTGATCTGAAAATTCATATGAAGAGAAAACACTTTGAATAGAAGGAAAATTATATTCCCCATTTTCCTCATTCAAAATTAAATTTAGGTATTTCACATGTTTGGGAGAAGAACTTCAAAGAAAGAAATGTGATATTTTTCATGTCTCTGAAAGTGGTAGATGGTTACAGAGAAAATTTTGCATAAAATGTTTACATTTAAAATAATATTTCGTTGTAACTTATCTGATTTTATGAAAGAACAAACGATGTATAATATTCATAATTATATATACATACATATATTTAATTTCAACCAATTTCGCAATAAGAATGTATTCTGATATTACCACAATACATGTTTCCATATTGTGTGAATCAGAAATTATTCTCAGTTCTTATGTTATTTGAGAAAATATCAAAAAGTCTTTTTACAAATTTCCTTATTCCTTATCATTTTTGATATTTGTAAAAAAATCTTTCAGTAATGAATAATTCATTTGGAAGAAGAATAAATTTGTTTGCATTTCAAACAACTGTCAAGTGGAAGTAGAGTGTAAAAATGAGAGTTTTAGTTTGTAAATTTTTTATTTATTTAATTTAATATTCGTATCTTTAGTTTAATAATCGAAAGTTGCGTTCATAACGATTTTAATTAATAAAACTATATTGATTCTGACAACATTTAGTGTACCTGATGTAAAGTTTTCATGCACAAGATTTATCTCTGTGCACTCCAACACTATATTTTAATAATAGTAACCATAAAATGTGACCAAAATTGATTTTGTAAGCAAAAGACAAGCAACAGAATTTATCGATTTTAGATTTTTCAATTTGTAATAAGAAACTTATAATTTCAGTTGAGAGCTTGTTATATTTCTTGTGAATATAATGTACAGGCAACAAACTTTTTAACGAAATCATAATACAATTGTTCTGTTAATGTAATTTGCTTCTATGTTAAAACCTGTGTTTTGTTTTTAGTTCAGTATTCTATTATTTATTTTGTCTTTCAATTGGTTTTGTAAAAGTTGTCATCCTAGCTTTTCATGTTAACATTTTATTTTATTTGCATTACTATTGAATTTGAAATGAGAGAACTTTGTAATTTTATTTTATAATAAATTTCTTCTACTATTATGTAACTATTTGACGTTATTATTATTATTATTTTTTTTTTGGTTGCACTCACCAATGCCCGCCGAATGCGTAAAGCTCCAACACTGGTAATTGTCTGTTGTTCGTGGGTTTGCGCCTGATAAATCTATCTCTCGTCTCTCCTTTCGCTCACGATTGACGTCAAAACGAGTGGCGATTATGGTCATTGGTGATAATCTCGCCTTTGTTGGTGACGTCATGATTCTAGTGGGTTTATTATAAATGTCCTGTTTATCTGCACGCGCAACACGGTATAGAATTTTAACCAATGAAATTGTACAATTTTCGAAAATGCAGAATAAGAAAACATAGGGCACGAGGTAATCAAAATGTTTCGAGTTACGTTATCCTCGGAACAGATGGAAGTTTTGATAATCGAGTTGCAAAAGCGTACATATTTAGTTAAAGGAGACTTGGAAGGGAATGTTTCCAAATATACTTTGCGGGACGGATGGCAAGAAGTAAGAGATAAAGTGAACTGTCTAGCCAATGGTCTACTGATCTAAGTGGATACATTAAAAAAAAAAAGAGAGAGTCTGTGGCGTTCCCGAACTAAAAGTAAAGTGGCTGCTTTAAGAAAGGATATCTTTACAACAGGTGGAAGGAAAAGAAGTACTCCATTAACAGACCTTGAAGAAAAGATCTTATCATTAATCGAAAACGAAGAATCTGGCTTAGAAGAAGAAAATTTATTTCAGCTTGGAGCTTGCTGTACAACTTCTCTTGAACCTTTACGTGAGTAACATATTTTTATTTATAAATTCGTTTATTATATATTAAATATAGGATATATCAGTGGCGTACCGTGACATTTGATGACAGTGAAGCTGTGTTTCTGTAAGAAACCGACTTCCAGGGGTAATCGGTTAATTGCGCGTTAGGGCAGCGGTCGGCAACCGATGGTCCGTGAGAAAATTTGGGTGGTCCATGGAGAAAGTTCAACATTAATCAACAGAAGGTTACGCGAAGTATTCGAAAGAAATGCAAAATGCTTAGTTGCTTTTTTCACTCATTGAGGGTTTTTAATTCGAATCTAAAACCAAATACGAAATGACTGTTATCAATAAATAAT